GACCTGAGTGGTAACGATGACTGGTCGAATAGGCCAACGACCAGGGTTGAAAAAAGACAATCTTCGATGTCTCCAGAGTCCAGAATTGATGGTGGCAATATTGCCGACCACATGAATCGAGCTAGCGTGGTGGCTCAATCTTCAGCAGCTCGACGGAGACGGATGAGGCGCAATCATCCCCAAGGACGCCTTCAGAATACCACAGAGTTAGTTAATGGTGGCCGGAAGGTGCCCACGCAGGTGCAAGACAGTGGAGGTCGGAAAGCTCCGAAGCCTGATTGGTTATGATACGTCGACGCATGGAATTAAAATCCACCTGCGCTCGAGTCTCTTCAGCGCTGGTCTTTAGTAATAGCTGAAGCACCGACCTGTTTGACTCGAACCTTGTGTTGAAATCAAGCATAGCACCAGATGCATCGACTCCCTTGTGATGTGTTCTACTTGACAGTGCGTGCGAGCTCCCAATAAACACCAGAACTATGCATCGAGCATGCTGGTGAGCGCCGTTTCACCTCAAAGCTTTTCCCTCCGATCAAAACAGTTCATCAAAACGGAACAACCTGTTTTGTCCTTAAAAATAAACGCAGTTAAGTTAATTCGGCATAGGTACTTATGACACCGCAGCAGAACGCCCCTGCGGTCTGGCAATGGCATCGACTCCGGCATACGGTACACGAAGAGAAAGCTGAATCCGGAAGCAAGTTCTTAGTTAGTGAGGGTGTTTGATCCGACACCTAATTAGCATGCATGTGCAGGTCGGTCAGAGATGGAGTTCGATGCAAGCTGCATTAATTGTCTCCCTGTTACAGATGCCAGGACGCAACTAAGAGGGCAAATCTCCCCATCCAATCCACAGAGTGACTTAGAGAAGCTACTTGTACGTTCAGACACTAATCCTTTTCTCCAGCTCTAAATCAGGCAGATAAAATTTAGAAAGAAGAAGAATTCAACATTCTACCTCGTTAGCTTGCCGTTTTCAGACATACCAATCTATAATTTAATTCACAAATACAAGGTTTATTCTCTAGAAAGGTTAAAAAATAACAACAATAAATAACCATCACTACGAATGTAATTAAGCAGCAGGTTTTGATTTCTTGGTATTAGTGGTGGTGTCATTTGCCACGCTTGAGCATCTCCTTGTACCTCAGGATGGAATCTAGCCGCTGCAGGTGGAGCTGCTGCCGGAACCGGTTGATGAAATCGTCCGCCCTCGCGTCCACCTCCACCTCCTCCTCCTCTTCTGCAACCGGCGCTCCGCGGCCGCCCCTCGCGGTAGCCGGCCGCCGTACGATCTCAGCCGCCTCGAAGTGATCGAACGCCGAACTGGCGCTCGCGGATTTCTTCATCTTTCCCGCCAGCTTCCCCGCCGCTTCCTCCCTCGTGTCCGACCGACTCCGCCCGTATTGGTGAGTTTCGTGGTCGTGGTTGTCCTCATGGGTTGCTGCGGCCTCCGGAGGGTCCGTCACCGTCTCCAAAGGACCCGCTTCGAGGAGCGTCCGGGAGAGGGCGGCGTCGATGGAGATCTCGCCGGATCGGAAGCGGTAGAGGCCGATGGAACGGATGCGCTCAAGCATGGCGGAGGGGCCACGTGAGAGCGGTGGGAGATCCTCCGGCGGGACGTCTACGCCGTCGCGGTGGTGGCGGCGGTGGGAGCGAAGGCTCTTGGAGGTCACGGCGATGGTGCCGATCACGAGGTTGAGAAGCAGGAAGAGGACGGTGGGAGTGAACCAGCCGCGGACCGAGGTCCAGATCGATGTCCATGATTCCTCCATCATCATCGAAGCACTTTTCCCCTTTGTTCGCCGGAGCACTATGGAGAGCAAGACAGACGACGGAGGACAGAATTGAATGGCGGGTGGGTCATGGTAATAATCAGGAGCGAGGACGGGGTAGGTGCTTTAACGGCAGCAAATGGAGGCCGCGTGGCACGAGCTTGTGGCGCACATGGGACGGATGGGCACACATGCCAAGGGAGACGGCGAAGCGTCAACGTAAGGCGAGAGGCAGCTCGTTTGAGTTACAACTTATATGACCTGGTCCATGCTATTATTTGTTCCAACGTGAGATCGACGTGGTCCTCTAATGCTCAGGACGCCTGCCGACACAGATACAATAATCTTAGCATAAGTGACTGGACCTGGGCAATAATGGTTTGGTGGATCCATTACGGTACGTTGGGAGAATACTATGATATATGGGTAAAATATGATATATATATATATATATATATCGCATTGATATTACTATTATACGTTAAAATTTTATTAAAATAAATATCTTTTTATCTTTTCTCACCTCAAGTTTTTTTCCTCTCCCGAGTGTGTACTTAGGAGATCGAGGGATTCGAAAGAAAGTGTAGTCATGTGTTAATTTGGCATTTAGTAATCTCTTACGCTTAGTCGCGAGTTAGTGCATTGGACAGTAAAGAAGGTGACATCGCTTGAACTACTGTATTACTACTAAAGAACTGACGTCATATGGTGGAGTAGTATCTCGGTCGATTATTCGATTCATCCGCTTCAGCTAGCGGAGAGTGGACATGAGTGACTCACTATAGTGGTGCTCAAGCACCCAAATGGAACTGAGGGACCCACATCGGGTGGAGGATGTGGTCGATCCATCCATTTCGGATGATGGGATTCATCTCTGTCTAACCTGCTCCCATGGTGTCAAACCTAATTAAGTAGCGGATGAAGGATGCGGTCAGCCAACTAGCTGAAGTGCTCACTTTGGGGCGACAGAAGAAGGGTAAGGCCAACTTGCTACATCGATGGTGGACGGCGATCGATGACATCAGGTGAGAAGGTCGTAGTCACTATTATGGCATACATTGCTTCGGGTTGTGATGGGACAAGGCATCATCGGTCCTTTGTTTATTTGCTCTGGCCTACGTTGGATGATTCAAGTCTATCGCAGCAAATTTAATGCAATGGAGTCAAGGTCACCAGATGCCCGCATAAGGTTGCAGAACAAGCTGTGATGCCTATACGATCAAGGTCCTGATTCACCCACACCGGTGATTCATTTTGTTGGTCGATAAAAAATATCGAGATGCCCACATTAAGCACCAAAGGGGAGTTTAGGCCTGAACAATGCCATCTTTAGAAGGTCATAAGGGTCGCACTTATAGAGGTCAACCTCCACGATGATGGGCATGAGCAGGCACTGGACCATGACCTCACAACAAAGATAGTGAGCCATGAACTTCTCATTGATAGGGTGGAACTAGAACCCTGGTGATAGGTTCAACTCAGCCTCTGCATCTCTTCTCCTCCCCCTGCACTTTGCTTTAGCTAAAGAAGAAGAAGATGCTTGTATTGGGCAATGGAGAAGACGATTGGAACCTAATGGTGTTGCTGAGAAACCCACACTTAGTGGTGAAGGCTGGATCTCGGTTGATCTAGATCTATTACCTAAAATATCCATGTCGAGTGGGATTCTAGTCCACCCGCATCGGGTAATGTAATTCACCTTTGCTCAACCCTTGTCTTATGATCAAGGGACCCATATCGACCAATGTAAAAGTCGTGATCGATCTTATTGAATATTAAATTTTGATGATAAAATCAATTGACAAGTCTATTAAACTAATATGTAATATATAATACAAGAATATTTCGATCATGAATTCGAATCATTAAAAAGCTAGTGAAATATTGTAAGCTCTCATTTTGAGTATAGTTTGAATTTTTTTTTTAAGTTTAGTTGAAATTCTAAATTATAGGAGGTGCAAGAATTCTTGTAAAAAATATATATAAAAAAGTTATCTCCTAAGCTTGAAAATTGAGAGAGTTATATCAAGAGTAGTTGATCTTCTCCTATTAGAAAGAAGGTCAATAGTGAAAATCGATGACCTCGATAAGAGGAATTAGAAATTAATGTAGGTCAAAAAAATTAAATCATTATAAATTATTTTTCCTCTTTTTACTTATTATTTATTTGTAACTTAAATTTATTCTGTTTACTTACAACTATAACTTAATCAATCGAATTTTCAAAACGTATTGATTTATCAATCAAGTTTTAAAATCAATCAAAAATATTATTACATTATAGATTCATCGGATATCATGGATCTGCTTATTTCTTCGAGCTTAAGCGTCATGAAATCCACGTCACACATTCATCTTCACTTTGGGCCATGGGAGTTGTGCTTTTAAATGGATGGCAGCATCCGGTCTCTCCAAATTCAAGTAGCACGATCTATATTTTGACTGGGTCGTGAACTCGACCTGAACCCGTCGGAGTTTGGCTTGACATGTCTGGATGCGAGTGCCATGGTTCACGGGCTTCAAGCTAATCCCCAAGTCTTTGTACAAGGAGTCCGTCTCGGCCCCGATGGACGATCAGGATTTATCCAAAGCGAATGCAACCAACCCTCGTCGCACTATTTGATTTAATTGCTCAAAGAGGAGAACGCCGTCATCTAATTTGATCTCGAGTGGACAATGCCGACGTACTCATACGGATCTCAAACCAATAATAGCTGCAGAAGTTTTACCACAACTGGTGCAGAAAGTACGAGTCAAAGTTCAAATGCTACAATTGCTTCTCAGAAAATTATAATGTCCTTAATATCAAGGGCTGTTTCGTAGCTTAAATTATCCGTCTTCCAAATTCCTCCGTGGATCGTCGCATTCAGAAAGTGACAAATTTGACAACCAGGACCAACTAATGACGCCCACACCCAGCGGTCTGCCGCCCATGTCATCTGCCTTCCCTCACCCCCGCCAATCTCTCCTCCTTCTTACACACCTTTTATACTCGATACTGCCAGCGACCATTGGAGCTCTAGTCACAGCCGCGAGATCACAATCGAACGTCTTTCGTATCGTGGACTCTAATTGATGTTGGACGTTCCACCATCCTTCGAGCGTACGACGACGAGCCCTTCCTTTTCCATCATCTTACAAAAAAGGAATCGCGACAGATAGAATTTATAGCCAAATTTATTGTTCACCTACTATTTACACTACTCCATGTGTGTGTGTGAGAGAGAGAGAGAGAGAGAGAGAGGAGCAAAGTGGGAGAAGAGCGATGGAGGCGTCGAAGCCTCCTACCTCCGCGGCTCCCCGGGCCGTGAACGGGAACGGAACCGCCGCCGCCTCAAAGGGAGGTGCCTCCCGTCCCACCTTCCCACCCACCAAGGCGCAGCAGTATCGGCTACCCTACCGCCCCCAGCGGCGGCCTTCGCCCCGACGCAAGCGCCGCTGCCACCAGGGCTGCTGTCGCATCTGCTGCCTGTGGCTCACCCTGCTGCTCATCGCCCTCGTCCTTCTCGCCGCCATCTCCGCCGGCGCTATCTACGTCCTCTGCCTTCCCCAGCGCCCCTCCTTCTCCGTCTCCTCCCTCCGCCTCTCCGCCCTCGACGTCCGCTCCGTCGACCTGCTCACCTCCCGCCTCGACCTCTCCGTCACCGTCCGCAACCCCAACCAGAGGATCGTCTTCGTCTTTGACGACGTCGCCCTCTCCGCCTCCTCGGGCGGAGTCACGATAGGTGAGGGAACGATCCCGGGCTTCGTCCAGGGCACCGACAACACCACGGTGCTCAAAGCCACCGTCTCGAGCTCGGGGCGGAGCCTGGACCCGACGGAGGCGTCGGGTCTGAGGCGGAAGAAACGGCATTCCTTGGAGATCTATCTCGACACCAAGGCCGGCATTAAGTTGGGAAGATTCAAGTCGATGCACGTGGGGATCAGGATTTCATGCAAGGGGATTGAGGCGTCGGTCACCAACGGCAACGCCACCGCCGGCTCAACCAAGGGCGCGGCCAAGTGCAAGGCAAGACTTCGTGTCAAGATCTGGGGCTGGACTCTCTAAGAGACATATCAGTGTCTATCTAATTTGATCTTCCCAAAGCCAAACGTACAAGGTATACATATATATATAGAGTTTTCCTCGATTCTTTTGTCCGTCTTAGGAGTACAGTTGTATCGATCTATCTATCTTCTGGGGAGCGATCTCCCATCAGACTCTATTGTTTCCCTTTTCCCCTGATGGAAGTCTGTCATTATTGAAGTCATGGTTTGCCATTCACCAGAAGTCCATGGGTAAGCATTGCTCCTTTTGAAAGGACGATTTTAAGAGTAAAGAAAAGGAGGTGGCGGAGGGAGCCCATACTCCCATGCATGTCGGTGGGAGGATCACGTTCACTCGCCTCGTCATGTATTTATATATAATACTTCTTCAGAGTTTGTATGAACTGGCCTACCTACACTCTTCCAGTTCCAATGTACTCGCTGCCTGATGCGTTGCAGAGGTCGTTGTTGATGACGTCTTTTGGGCCCCCACCAACGCGTGCTTTTTGGGGTCGGGGGGGCGGGGCGCGGCGCGGGTTCCACCGAAGTGAAGCGACTCGAAAGTTCTAGGTTGTTAGATAGCATTGGTCTTCACCTGCAAACGGCCACTGGCGTGACTCGATCCATGTTGCTATATATCATCAACCCTCGATTTCCACCTTACGTTTTTCGTCATCATCCTCCACCAAGCTGCCCTATTGGCCCCATCTCTTCTCCTACATCTCTCTGCGTCAATCGGACACCGGTCACTCTGGCTCGCTCAATCGGCTCCCTCGATCGGGCTTAAGCCCAAGGTAGTACGAGTCCACGTTCCATGACAAGATAACATTGCTTTACCCGAGGAAAACGAATGCACCGCCTTATCGCGAGCGAGGAGAGGGGAAGGGTGCGGAGAGCGGCGGCGATCGTTGTAGCACGCATCACAACGTACGATCCCCTGTAGAGTGGCGAGGCAAATGGCCAAGTGCTCCGTGGCCAACGCTTCCATCTGTTTCAGGCAGCGTCTTCTCCTCCCTTTCTCGGCCGTCTTCTCCTCCTCTCCTCTTTCCATGGCGATGGCGATGACCTCTTCGTCCATCTACTGCCGCCCCAGGTTCCCCATCTCACCCCTGAGACGGATGCCTCGTTTCCCCAAGTCCTCGTCTTCGTTCACTACGATAGCTTCATCTCAGACCTCTGGCGACGCTGGCAAAGGTAATCTCACTCGCCGCTCTCTAGTCTTTCTTCCGTTCTTTAATTCGTTTGCCGAAATGCCGATTATCTTTGTGTCCTGAGTTCCATTTGTTTGTAGTTTATCCTTAAAGTGTATTTCCTCGGTTCTCCTAACTATGACACGATTGGATCAATCACGATATCCTTTATTTTCCGTGTGAAATCTGCCACTTACCGGCAAATGTAGAGTGCCTGGCGCTGAGATATTTATGCTCGATGTATGAGATTTTGTGTACTGAACATGCAGGAGGTGAGTTCCCTGGTCGTGTTGGATTCTTGGGTCTTGGAATCATGGGCTCACCTATGGCAATAAACCTTCTGAAGGCCGGGTGATTCATATTATGTTCCTCTTTTTCCTTTTTTATTTTTTTCACACGTCTTATTTCTTTTTTCTTCTGAAATGAGTATTTTGTTTTCAATGATGGTATCATCACGAGAGAGATGTCTCTTTTCATGAGGTCTGTACTAGTGGTGTACTGGATACAGAATAAGGTGTCTTTATAATAAGGTTCTTTCACCGAATGATAAAGGATTCTGATTCTCAGTCCAGATCCAAATATGTTATTGCATTTCTATGTTTTACTTCATCCATTAATTTTGCACTATCATTGTATCTTATGCTGTTATGCATTTCAGATTTTCAGCCCATTTTTAAGTTCTCAAGCCAGCATGGGTTGAGTTGTTTTAAAAGATGTAGATTCAGAAAAAAAAATTTCTATATTTTGTATGGATAATTAAACACATTGATGAAGCAAATGAGCATCAATTCAATAGAAAGTGTTATGAGCAAATTAAGGTCCGATTACAAAAAACAGTTTGGTGGCAAAAAGTATTAGGTGTTGAAGTTGTGGTAGTGTGCAGTAATAATCGCTTCGAAGTTGCTCATATATTTGAGATGAAGGAAACAATGATGGTGCTGCATGTGAATCATAGAGGGGGAATGCTATGCTTGCTTGTGCACACAGGCATGTCTGTATATATTGGTATGAATATGTATGTATATATTGCTCTCCTTGTTTACCAAAAGTAAACAAGGAAAGCAAATTGAATGATAATTGATAAACAAGGAAAGCAAATTGAATGGAAAAAAAAATAGAGCCATCGGATTTTCATGCAACCGTAGATAGATAGGTGTTTTGTGTGATTCTGCATGCATTTCTATTTCTAGAATGCATACAAGAAGCAATGTCATTCCAAAATTCATCTCCATTGTTTTGCCCGAGATTTGTAAATAGTATTCGTTGCTCAGGTACAAGCTAATGATATTTATCATAGCATATGCATATCTTAGTTATGTACACTGCTTACCTTTGAGGATTAGCATTTGAATTTGGCAAACAGAATTTACCTGAGTTCAAACAATTATTTGCATATTGCTTTTCTGCCGTGTCTCCTGTGGACCACACTGTTTTAACTCTTGACTTTCCATTTGTAGATGTGATGTTACTGTTTGGAATAGAACAAAGAGCAAGTGCAATCACCTCATTGACCTTGGTGCAAAGTATGTGGTATTCTTTGCATTTGCTATTCAGAAAATCTCTTGGAACTTATCTTTGCTATGAGCCTTAAATATTACTTTTTGCATGATGGCAAATTTAGTTTACCACATAAACTGTAAAGAATTTGTGTCTATTGAGATGATACTTAGCTTTAATAATTTGGACTGACTTCTGGCATCTAACTCACAACAAAGCCTTACCGTTCAAGTTGAAGATATATAGTGGAGAAAAGGATGTTCTAGGCTATCTCTTTCTTGTGCAAAAAAATTTACTGCCACATTATGTCGTATAGATCCAGCTATGGGGTAGATCAGTTTCGTGGTAGTCCTAATACTAAAAGTTTCTTTTTCCTTTTTGATGAAATCCTTGTTACTATCATTTACATATTCTCCTTGTTATTCTCAATATATATTTTTTAATGTTTAAGACAATTTGGTAATTATTTTTTCTTTCTTATTAGAACCTGAGAGATGGAAAGAGCAAGTACATATGCATGTCAATTTATGTGTCCAACACAATGTAGCTTGTTGGAATTGATATGCAATGGCATATTATGTCAGCTTCATTATCCAGTCTGTAAAATTCTTTATTTAACAACTATAAATATTATAATATCTTGATGTTGAACTTTTACTAGACATATTCTTTGGACTAAAGGTGTTTATATTTATCGTACCTATAAATTAGTTCTGGTTTTAATGGTTTCATACATTAAACTTATTTAGGCACCATCCTCATAGACTGCTAAACTGAACTTCTAGTGGGATACATGTGACTTATTTGCAGATATGAACCTTCTCCTGCAGAAGTTGCATCATCTTGCGATGTGACATTTGCAATGCTGGCCGATCCTGAAAGTGCGGTATGTAATTGTTGATTTCAACTTGTAGTATAATCACTGAAACATATCCTCATAGGTTGATGTCGCCTGTGGGACCAATGGAGCGGTCAAAGGAATGGGCTCTGGAAAAGGGTATTCTTCTTTCATTATCATCACATTACTCAATTTTATCAGCATTCTTGTTGAGGCAGATCTTGCTTTTCTTCTTGTGGTTCTTTTAATAACATAACCTAACAGAAGACATATGGAATCACTTATTTTACTGCTTAGATCTGCACAGGTGTTGTTGAAAATTTCAACTCACTGGTTATTGTCATTTGCAAAAAAGTAATATCATCTAACGTGCTCCTCCTTAAAACAATCTTCAGCATATGGGATCAGATAATACTATGCCAATCGTATTTATTCTTGATAAGCACACATACACTTGTTCATTTGGCAATTAAGATTGTCTTTTAAATTTATGATTGTAAGTGAACAATTAATCTCCTTTCTTCCTCCTATTGGCTTGTTTGAGACTCTGGATTTCCTTGCTTTTCAACATTTTTAGACGTCTCTGCACTAGCGCTTGTGTACCACGATAAGTGTTTCTTTTCCTTCATGTATTCATCGGACATTCTACATTACTGGAATGTGGCTGAAAGTTGATACATTTTATGTATTATTTGAATTGCTATATGGATTTGCAAGCATTGATAGTAACTGCTGTATAGAATTTTGACATATAGGCAATTATGCCAATTGGTATGTTGAGAATTTTGGACCAATTCTTCACTCATGAAATCAGGTTCAAAATACATACTATCTTGTGGTGTTACTTGTTGGTTTCTTAACTTCAAAGACAACTGCAGGTACGTTGATGCATCTACAGTTGATGGGGCCACCTCCAAGCTGATCAGCAAGCATATTAGAGATACAGGGGCATCATTTTTAGAGGTTTGAGAATTCTTATTTTGTTCTTTGTAGTTTTAATTGATTTATTTTAGAAGTGAAGTTGTCCTAGAGGTTTGAAAAGTTCCTCTAAACTTTTCAGTTATATTAGATTGCAACTTCTAGTGGGTTTTTCTTTTTAATAGGCTCCAGTTTCAGGCTCCAAAAAGCCTGCAGAAGATGGGCAGTTGATATTTCTGACTGCAGGTAAATCTGTCTGTCATATACGAGCAGTCAATCAATGTGATTAGTGAGCAGGTTCATGTTTGTTTGCATGCAGCTAGTCAAACAATGCATATGTTCTTAGATTTACTTTGGTATCTTTGTCCTTGGACTTTTTTAGTTTTCTTTGCATCATAAAATAAATTTATTTCCTTTTCTAGGAACTAAATCATGGTTGTTAACTTGCAGGTGATGCTTCCTTGTATGAAATAGCATCACCACTTTTAGACATAATGGGAAAGGTCTGTGTTATTTTTTATTAAAGTCAGTCAGAGGTTAACTTTATCGTGTTTCTGTGGTTAACGCTCTTTACTAAAGTTGTTGTCTTGTTTAACTTGTAGTCGAGATTTTACCTCGGCGAGGTTGGAAATGGTGCAGCTATGAAACTTGTTGTCAACATGATCATGGGAAGGTCATAACTGTTACAAACTCTGGTCCTAAGTAAGATCGAAGTAGATATAGGTTTCCAAGAGGAAATTTCAGACTCCCACACACTGATTAATTGTTGGTTTCTTCTAATAATTGTAGCATGATGGCTTCCTTCTCAGAAGGGCTTCTTCTAAGTGAAAAAGTTGGTCTAGACCCAAATGTTCTTATTGAGGTTGGTTTAGAAAGAGAAATGTTATAAACAATGGTGCTATGAGTATCTCAATTTGTTTGGTGATGTCAGTTCACTACGGTACAAGTTCTGCATCTTGCAGGTTATTTCACAGGGTGCCATTAGTGCACCTATGTTCGCCGTCAAGGGTCCTTCGATGGTTAAAGCCACGTATCCAACTGCTTTCCCTTTAAAACATCAGCAGAAGGTTAGTAAAGTTTTCTTAATTCTGCAATGCAAGAAGTTGTAAGAAACATAAATTTTTCATATGAAGACTAGTTTCTAATGGCAGGATTTGAGGCTTGCGTTAGGATTAGCTGAGTCTGTGACTCAGCCGATGCCAGTTGCAGCAGCTGCAAATGAGCTCTATAAAGTAGCCAAATCTTATGGCCTTAGTGATCATGATTTCTCAGCAGTTATTGAAGCATTGAGAGCGAAGTTGCAACATTCAGAATGAAGTAAGTTTACTATCACTATTGAAATTACATACCATCGTAGATTTAAACACAACGTATGGAAATTTGATAGTGTTAAAGCTACAACTCAGGAGTATGTTGATTTTATTTTCCATCTGTAATCAGTCTCTTTGTGTGTCGTTTTTAAAAGAAAACTTAGAGCATTAATATTACAGCAAAGCATGTCAGGGTCTACGCTTAGGATTATTTTGATACTGTTGCCATGGCCTGTGACTCGTTTATAAATGCCTTGATTCCTAACATTTGTTTATTAGCAGGGGTTGTTTTTAATTTATACTTAAACACAAGTGCATTTCTAGGTTCCTTGATCCAAGCCATCTGATTCCTCTAGCAATGGACAAACAAGCATGAAATAGTTGTTGTCAAATGTAGGTCAAAATGTGACTGGCTTAACAATCTGTTTTGGTCAGTATGCATACATGCATGCAATGTGAGGCACATCAAAATTCGATAGGTATTGATCATTATCAGTCAATAGTGGTTACACTAACCCTCAACCCTAGTGAAAAGAGTTGTTTTGGCTAGTTTCAGCTAACAATCGATGTGTTTACAGCCAAAAAAAAAAAGTGAATTACAATAAAACTAAGGCTGTTGCACTACCGTATGCCTTGCTATTTACTTTAGTGAAAAGGACGACAACAAAAAAAACCTAAGTGATGGAGTGCATTTTAAGAATATTGGATTGTAGGTGTTGGACCAGAGAAATCTGTTTTGGACATTATGTGCAACATTTTAGATAGACTTGATAACGAAGGATATTGGTGAATTGACATCTGTTAGAGGATAGTGTCAAAGACAATCCTTTACAAAGTTCATCTACAACCTCACTAGACAGATTCGTCGATATAAAAGTTCATCTACAACTGCATTAGATGCATACATTGATGTAAAAGTTCAGAAACATAGAGATCCTTTGGCTTAACATCACTCACTTTGCCATGAACATTGTCCCTTTGAAGTTCATTCAAGAAAGAAAAACTTTGATCGATGAGTGAAAGGCTGATCGATATATCAAGATCCTCAATCAAAGGTGTAGTGCCTATATAGACCAAGATATTCATATGTATTAGAAATGTTGAATTGATTTAGAATTTGATTTAATGTCTATTTAAAACATGTATGATATTAAACGTAAATAGTTTATCTTGTAGTATATTACCTAAATCCTACAATTCAATATCGATATAGTTTTCCCACTAGATTAGATTTATCGTGGGTTCTACGAAACGAAATGTTATATATTAGCTTATGCCAAAAAGCAACAAGGCAATTGATGCTATCACGGACATATATCAAAGAACACATGATTTGTTAGTTGGTTGAAGTTAATTTATTATTAATATTATGATTCATGTTATTTATATAGTGTCAATGATTTTAAGAAGGTTCTGGCTCATTTTTGGATGATGTCATGATATTGTGTAGATATTGGCAATAAAATCACTCATTGTAAATTTATTGGACCTTAATGATGTGTTTGTCTAATAACAATATTGTTTGTAACCTTGTTGTGACTATAATTTAGAGGGTCGACACCTAATCTAACGAAGGATGCAGTCTGTCTTTCCACAAACATCATATGGTGGATGCGAACGCAATTAGCTAGTGTTGCGTTCATTTTATTTTTGCACTTTAGGCTATAGAAGAAGAGGAGCAATAGCCAGAGTAGTAGTGCCTATATGGACCAGGACATGGTGGTCGAACTATGGGAAGTTAGTCTATTAGGGATCATGGCAGGTCACTAATACATGCACCTAGTGTGTGAAGGGGAAGGGGAAGGGGAAGGCAATAACATCTAGACACAAATAATATATAATAATTTCAGTTTTATGACAAGACATTCTCTCTCATAGTTCATGTTCTATGAGATCCATGGAGATAGAGCAACATGTGAACAATAGTGCAATTGGGGGGCAACCACAAATGACCAATTTATTGTTCCAACTACTCAACCAAATAGTGGGGCATGGGTGGAGCATTAATATTTTATTCATGTCATTGATCATAAAGCTTTACAATTCATGTTTCTTATTTATATTAGAAAGGAAAGAGGAAGACAGATCATAACTTATGAAGCCACATAACAGTAGGTTAGTGATAGACGAAGTTTCAATGCACTCCAACCTCCACTATCATATATGTCCTGGTCACACTTACCTCAGGAGGCTCATCAAATGTGTGTTGTTAATGATGATAAGGTAACAACTGTTACTATGTTGATGCATCAACAATACACGATTTATCAGTTGAATATATCATGAGAGTAGTTTAAAGATTAAATCTGAGAAACCTACCATATCGACATATATCTTTAAAGGATCGAGAATCTTAATCCATTGATCGTGAAGTCTTACCATTCAATTTGATGATAGAAATAGGTATCTACATTCTTAATAGATTTGAAAAGATAAGATTTTCAATTATCAATCCTTATATTCTAAAATTTTTATGCATTTCTGATTTAGCTATATTATATTCTTGTATAAATTAATATACCAAGAAATTAAAACATCTTAAAATAAGTTTTTTTAAAGAAATTGATTGACTTTTTTATTTACAAATATATTTTTTTTGACACATGATACATTCATGTGGATCGATACATATCGATCCAATTAAGGATTGTTATCGATCATTTATGATATGACACAAGCGGACCAATACATAACAATCCAATTAAGGATCGATACGTCTGGTCAGTTATAATATGATAGTTTGTGCCATAGTGTTTCTTAACTAGATCGTTACATCTGGTCAGTTACAATAAGACTAATTATAGATTGTCTTATATAGTTAGTCATATTTTGCATCTCGGTCCTTATATTTTAAAAAATTACATTGACATACCTATAGTTACAAAAGTGAAATATCTAAGTTCATTTATCCTAACGACATTAGTTTTACCAATGAAAATATGAAAACAAAGGATAAAAATATAAATTTAATATTATGATGGTGGCGAACGACGATGACGCTATGTCAAGCGGCCCTTTCGTTGCTTTGTATCTGCGTTGGTGCTTCGTCGTTGTGGAATCGTGCCTTCGCCTTGCTCTTCACCCTTCCACTCACCTCGTTGTCGTCGCTATTGAACCTAGTAAAGAGCAATGGAGATAATGTGGTGGGGGACGTTAGGGAGGTGGACGGAGTGGAGGCGATCGTGAGGGCTCTAGTTGACGGTGACAAAGGGGTGAGTGCGAGAGGGAAGAGCAAGGCGGAGGTGATGTTGTAAAGGGTTGCGACAATGTGTTAGACGACGGTGAGAGCGCTATTGTAAAGGGTTATGGTGACGTGTTGGGTGACAGCGAGGCGTCGAGGATGCTCAAGGTGCACACGAGTGCCTCATGGGCAAAGGTGGAGATTGAGGAGTGTAGCAATGACATTCTCCTAGGCCACGAACAAGTGGTGGTGGTGGTTGAGGAGGTGGGTGGCAAGGAGGGGCACAACACCGACAAGGGGGGCACACATCTCTGAGTCTTGCTTCGATAGGCAATAGATCTTTGCGATGACTTCAACATCGAACTTCGATTCCTCGACGACATAGTTTCAAGACAAATACAAAGTGGCGAAAGGATCGCTTGACAATTACGTTAACACCTGTAACATCATCGTCCGTCACCACCGACATTGTCCGTCACAACTAGAATGTTAAATTTATCTTTTTACTTTTTATTTTTATATTTTTATTAATAAAATTAATATAATCAAAATAAATAAACCTATATATTTCACTTTTGTAGATATAAAGATATCAATATAATTTTTTAAAGTATAAAGATCAAGATATTAAAAATGATCAACTATAAGAGATAATATATACAATTCATGTCATTGTGCTTCTTGTTCTATATTACAAGCCCGTCTTGTGTCTCCCCTTGATTTGATCTCCAAAGATGAGAAAAATAAGAAAAAAAGATGTCCAATATTGATGATCATTAAAAAAAAAAAAAACTGATAGCTTATGCAATGTACCAAGCGATTGACCTTTAATTGGACGCATTGTCCAATGGACGACCTTTAAAAAACTGATAAGCTTTAATTGGACGCCTTGTATACAATGTACCAAGCGACCTTTAATTGACATCACAACATTTTGGGATGACACCTAATCGCTCATGCGAAAATATATTCCATAAGATTCAATTTATCATCTTAAGAGATTAAGAAAAACGCAGTCAACGTATAACTCAGATCCCCGATAAGGCTTTAGGATATCCTGCCGAGACTACCACATAAACAGCGCTCTTAGAACTCAAACGATATCTGAAATATTACGACTTTGGTGAGCATGACAATATGTGGGCTTTGAACTTCTCCAGCTCCGACAGAACCTCGTCTTCGGGTCTGTATATCGAGTCACTCATGCGCCATATCTGGCATTACCAATTGCCCAATTGCCAAAACAAGGATAAATGATCCTTAAAAACACAAAGGTTCCTACACCATTTATTAATGGGAAAATATGGACCACCAGGAAAATTGATCCAATGAGGTTCACCTGCAAGGTACCACCTCCACCGGTGCTTCCAGTCATCAGAAACACCACCGGTGCATTCCAGTGAAAATCTACAACTTTATCCCTGCATGCATGTTCACGAAAAGAAAGAACGGTTTCAACAATCAATGGGCTGTGTATACCAACCATTTCCAAAAACAAGATTCCATCTGGGAGAAACAAAAGCTTAAACATAAGAGAGAAGAGAGACATTACATACATTCCAGCCAAAAAGTAATAGCTAACAAGAGAGAGTAAATGAACTCATGAAGTGCCCTCCTGTTCTTTAATCCTAATATCAGTTGCTTGCTTCATTTGGTCAATCTTTATTTAATCCTAGCTCTCATCATCAATCAAACTTGACCATCAAAGCTTCATTTTTGTTCAATATATTTAGTATCACTATTGTCCAGATTCAATCAACCTAATTTATCGCTGCTGCGGTACATGCTACAATTATGTGGGGGCAAAAGATTCCGTCTAAGCCACCCATCGTAGGCATCTTGCATCGAAGTTAACGGTAGTAGTAGAAGGTAAGACATAAAGAGGAAGTTATGACACCTATGCCCTTGCATGTTGAAAGAATAAACCAGGGGGATGAATTAGGCATCCTAGTTCCAGCACTTTCTTTCTTCTTACCAACCTAAAAAAGAGAAAAATATTTTGATAAGATGCATTTTAA